GGACCACGGGTGGTTAATGTAATCCACTCAAAAGTGAACGAAAGCAACATTCGGGGAGAAACCTAAAGAGTAAAACACCTGCAGCACGTGAACCAAGTCGGATACAAAAGACAGAAAAGACCTCGGTCTGAGGAGTGCCAGGGACCAATGATAGCCTTCACCGAAGCCGACCTAGAGATGGTCCAGCATCCACATAATGATGCCTTGGTTGTATCCCTCCAGGTTAGGGAGTGCCAAGTAAAACGCATCCTGATTGATCAAGGCAGCTCTTGTGACATCATGTATGTTAGATGTTACAAGGAGCTGGGCCTTCACCCTGACGACCTGGAACAATCCAGCAACCCTATGGTTGGCTTCAATGGAACGCCGACATGGCCACTAGGCGCAACAAGCGTGGAAGTACAAGCTGGTACTAAAAAGATCAAGACAGAATTTATGGTGATTGACACACCCTCGCCATATAACATCATATTGGGAAGACCATGGTTGCATGCAACTGGGGCAGTTCCCTCAACACTGCATCAACTACTACGGTTCCCAACAGAACATGGGATTGAAGAAGTCAGAGGAGATCAAATGCAGGTAAAAAATTGCTCCATGGCAGCAATGAAATCTACTTGCAGCATTCGAAAACCAAAAGAGGCAGAAATTGAAAACAAGGACATGGAGGTCCTAGACGATGTCGGCAAGGAGTCAACCAAAAAGAGTGAAGAGACACTAAAGAAAATCCTTGTCCAGGAGGGCGACGAAGAACGCTTCTTTCTTCTCGGCTCAGGCTTAGCCGAAGAAGAGGAAAGAAAACTGGAAGATTTCTTGAGAGCCAACATTGAGGTGTTCGCCTGGACACCTTACGAGATGCTTGGCATTGACCCCGAGGTCACTTGCCACAGACTGAATGTCGACAGGTCGGCAAAGCCTGTGATTCAACGAGCCAGAAGACCGACATTAATGCATGTCGAAGCAGTAGAAGAAGAAGTAGATAGACTTCTGGAGGCCAGGGCCATCCGAGAAGTTCACTACCCAACATGGCTGTCCAACACAGTAGTGGTAAAGAAGAAGAACGACAAATGGAGGGTCTGTGTAGACTTTACCAATCTCAACAAAGCCTGCCCCAAAGACAGCTTTCCTCTGCCCAAGATTGACCAGCTAGTAGATGCAACTTCAGGGCATGAAAGGATGAGTTTCTTGGATGCATACAGGGGGTACCACCAGATTTCCATGTACCCACCAGACGAGGAGAAGACCGCGTTCATCACCCCTAAAGGCCTGTACTGTTACAAGGTAATGCCTTTTGGGTTGAAAAACGCAGGAGCAACTTATCAAAGGTTAGTAACAAAGATGTTCAAACACCTGATTGGCAAAATAGTAGAAGTCTACATCGATGACATGGTCGTAAAGACCAAAGAATCTAAGGGTCATCTTGCCGACCTAAAAGAAGTCTTCGATATACTCAAAACATATCGGCTCCGACTCAACGCATCAAAGTGCGCGTTTGGAGTTGGATCAGGTAAGTTTTTAGGATATCTGGTAACAAGAAAGGGCATTGAGGCCAGCCCAGACCAAATCAAGGCCATCCTAGAGCTACAAAGCCCGATGTCAGCAAAACAGGTTTAGATGCTTACCGGAAGGGCCGCAGCCCTAAACAGATTCATCAGCAGAAGCTCAGATAAGTGCAGACCCTTCTTCAACTTGGTGAAAAAAGCCACAGACTTTCTGTGGACAGAAGAATGCGAAGCCCCTCTGACCGACCTAAAGAAGTACTTGACCACAACTCCGGTTCTTTCCAATCCAGAACCAGGGGAAGAACTGTTTTTATACTTGGCAGTTTCAGAACACGCAGTCAGTGCAGTACTAATCCGAGAAGAAAAAGGGGAGCAAAAGGCTGTTTACTATGTAAGCAAAACCTTGGCCAACGCGGAAACAAGGTATCTACCACTGGAGAAATTAATGCTGGCCTTAGTAGTGGCTTCAAAGAAGTTGAACCATTACTTTCAGGCGCACAAGATTGTGGTCCTAACAGAGCAGGTAGGCGCTGTGCTTACCACAATGAAGAAGGACACCCAACTCAGGGTTGCAGAGCCTTAAAAGCACACTTAGAAGACCTGGTAAGGCAAGGCCATCTGAGGGACCTTATTGATGAGGCCAGGACAAGAGAAGAACAGGCAAGATTGCCTCAAGCACC